CGAGGACGGGGCACCCGCACCGGGCGCATCCCCGCACCGCAGCACAGGGCCCAGCGCGCAGGGGACAGCCCCACGCTGGCAGGGCCATTTGCAGCTAATAAACAGCTTGTTTCTACCTGAACTTGTCTTGGAAGAGAGGAAAGGCAGCGTGAAGAGGGGGACAGGGCTGAGCCTGTACCGCTGCCGCGGGTGTCTCTAACCCACCCAGGCGGTAATCAGAACCAGCTCTGGGCTGGGCGGTTAATGGGGGGAGGTGGAATTAGCTGGGCCTGTCCTTTCCATAACTGCCCTGTGGCACCGGGTGTAGCACAGGGTGCTGAGCGTGGGGGAAGGCACCGGGCATGCCTCCCTTTCGCCCCTTCCTTCCCCCACAGCCTCATCCCCCTGCGAGGAGTCGGGGCTGCAGGCCCCCCCAAGGGCGCCCCACTGTGCTGCTCCCTCCCAAGCCCCCCTGGCTGCGGCTGCAGCTCCCAGTGAAGCTCCGGGTTGCTCCATGCGTCCTGCCCGCGCTGGCAGGGCAAGGGAAGCGCCGGACAGAGAGCAGCACGTCAAAGCCCCCCTGCGGCGACCACGATCAGGATTTATTTCACAGCACCAGCTCAGGGAACAGCTGCTGCATTTGCCTGGACCGCTGCGCTCCCACGGCGGGCAGGCGGGAGCACGGGTGCAGTGCAACTCTGCATGTGCGGAAAGCCAGGAGAGGCCACGGGGCAGGTCCTGTGGGCCCTGCGCCAGCACAGCGGGTGCAAGAGACTCCACAGCTGCTTTCACGGGACTCCCCAGTCGTGTCTTGAGGCAGCAACAGAGCACAGGGCAGCTCCCAGCAAAGCTCCAAGTCTGCAGGGCAGGAGCGGGCGCACCGCCAGGGCAGGGCCCGTCCCCGACAACGGTTTCTTCTCCCATCGCTTTTAGAAGCGGCACAAGTGCGGAGTCTTCACGGTCCGGGCGCTCCCGGCCCCGCGCCGGACACAGGGCCCTGCTCCAGGGCAGGCAGGCAGGGCTAAATGGACTCAATCTGCTTGCGGACCTTCTCGAGGGCTTTCCTGTCCAGCACTCGCTGGCGACACACCACCAGCACAGCGAAGACCGCAGCCACGCACATCATCGTGCCCACAAACTTACAGAAAATGCGCGC